ATAGATTTATAGAGATAGATGATTAATAGATAGATGGTAGATATAGAGATAGATGATTAACAGATAAATAGAGATGATTAATAGATAGAGTTAGATAGATGATTAATAGAGAGAGATGATTAATAGATATATAGATGATTAATAGATAGATAGATTGATGATAGATATAGAGATAATTAATAGCTATAGATGATAGATATAGAGATAGATGATTAATACACTGCTCAAAAAAATAAAAGGAACACTTAAACAACACAATGTAACTCCAAGTCAATCACACTTCTGCGAAATCGAACTGTCCACTTAGGTAGCAACACTGATTGACAATCAATTTCACATGCTGTTGTGCAAATGGAATAGACAAGAGGTGGAAAGCAGAGGCAGTTAGCAAGACATCCCCAATAAAGGAGTGGTTCTGTAGGTGATGACCACAGACCACTTCTCAGTTCCTATGCTTTCTGGCTGATGGTTTGGTCACTTTTGAATGCTGGCGGTGCTTTCACTCTAGTGGCAGCATGAGACGGAGTCTACAACCCACACAAGTGGCTCAGGTAGTGCAGCTCATCCAAGATGGCACATCAATGCGAGCTGTGGCAAGAAGGTTTGCTGTGTCTGTCAGCGTAGTGTCCAGAACATGGAGGCGCTATCAGGAGACAGGCCAGTACATCAGGAGACGTGGAGGAGGCCGTAGGTGGGCAACAACCCAGCATCAGGACCGCTACCTCCACCTTTGTGCAAGGAGGGACGGAAGGAGCACTGCCAGAGCCCTGCAAAATGACCTCCAGCGGGCCACAAATGTGCATGTGGCTGATCAAATGGTCAGAAACAGACTCCATGAGGGTGGTATGAGGGCCCGATGTCCACAGTTGGGGGTTGTGCTTATAGCCCAACACTGTGCAGGACGTTTGGCATTTGCCAGAGAACACCAAGATTGGCACATTTGCCACTGGTGCCCTGTGCTCTTCACAGTTGAAAGCAGGTTCACACTGAGCACATGTGACAGATGTGACAGGGTCTGGAGACGCCATGGAGAACGTTCTGCTGCCTGCAACATCCTCCAGCATGACCGGTTTGGCAGTGGGTCAGTAATGGTGTGGGGTAGCATTTCTTTAGGGGGCCGCACAGCCCTCCATGTGCTCACCAGAGGTAGCCTGTGTTCTATATCAGCATATTCCAAATACTGAATACTGATTGGTCCACACGGATCGCGACCCGATTGTTCAACTGAACGGCCGTGATTGGCGCACTAAGAATCAACCGCGATTAGCCGAGCCGATCGCGGGAGATTCAAAGCCCTGTCATTAGCCGCCGAGCCGCGAGCAATCCCTATATGAAAGGCTGCCGCGGCTCCAAGTTCTTGTACAGGTCTTAACACTGAAATAAAGAGCTGAATGTACACTTTGGTCTCGCGTCTCTATGGGAACCGATCTACCGATCTAACACTGGCGACGAGGGTGGGATGGTGAGACAAGAGACCAACCAAGCACGTGGCAAGCAGCACAGAACAACCGACAAGATGGCCAGCAGCATCACGCCACCCGCACCCTTCAACCAGGCTCCCGAGGATTGGGAATCATACATTGACCGATTCCTAATGTTCCTTGAGAGCAGCAACCTAAAAGATGCCAATGGACAGAAAAAAAGGGCCGTGTTCCTGACACACTGCGGGCCCGCAGTGTTCAAAATGGCTAAAGCCCTAGCTAAACCCGCCGACGTGAAGGAGATAGACTGGGCCGATCTCGAACCGTTGCTGCGGCACCACTATGCCCCCGCCGTGCCCAATCTCATCAGAAGGCACGAGTTCTATTGGCGGGACCAGAAAGAGGGCGAGAGCATTAGCGATTTCGTGGCCATGCTGAGGGACCTCGGAGGCATGTGCGGGTTCACCGACATGGACGAGGCTCTACGAGACCGCGTGGTCCTTGGTCTCAGAGACCCCATTCTGCAGAGCCGGCTGATGGCGAGGGCAGACATCTCCATTACCGAGGCCATCGCTGAAGCAACTGCATCTGAAGCAGCCAAACAGTCAGCGGTTCGGATGCAGCAGATGAACGCGGCGGACCGACCAGCAACCATCGAAGCGACCCCAGCACCGGAGAAACACCCGGAAGCAAGCCCCAAGATGACCACCACCACCCACCATGGAGACGTCGACTCCTTCTCCGAAACCGAGGAGGAGGAGGAGATCCACCGACTACAGGCAGAATGCGATCGGCGGGAACGGAGAGGTTGTAAGTCGGGGTTCCAGTGTGCCGGCTGCGGCAGCGACCACCCCCACTCAGAATGCCGATTCCTCGACGCCATCTGTTGGCATTGTGATAAGCGGGGGCACATCGCCAAGGTACGCTGGAACAAGAGTAACCACAGCCCCCGGCAACGAGACGGCAGCCCCCAACAATGAGATGGCACCCCCCCCAGGACCAGAGACCGTCACGCCGAGAGCCGGTGGAGCCGGGACAGCTGAAGCAAGCGACTCAGCGAGGCGCGGCAGAGAGAGGAGACCCATCAGATGGTCATCATTGGCCATTCCTCGACCATCGACGCCCGGAAGGTTCACATGGAAGTAGGCATTGAGGATCAACCATGTGAGATGGAGGTGGATTCCGGATCCTACCTCTCCATGGTTTCCTGGCGCACAATCAAGCGCTTGGTGCCTACCATCCACCGGCGCGAGTTAGAAAATCAAAAGCTGACCCTAAAGCACTATCAGGGAAACCGCATCCCTGTAGTCGGAACCGGACATTTCAAAATAACGTTCAAGGGGCATACCGAGGTGCTTCCACTCACAATCGTGGGCAAGGACCGCCCAAGCCTGCTGGGACTGCAATGGTTCGCACCGCTGGGCATCGAAGTGACGGGCGTCAACCACGTCGCCGAGGCGGACTGGGAAGCAACACTCGTGCGGGACTTCCAAGAGGTTTTCAACGGCGACCTAGGCAAGTACCAGGGGTCCCCAATCTCTTTTAATTTAAACCCTATCGTTGCCCCAATCCGCCTTAAACCGCGGCGGGTGCCACTCGCGCTCAAACCCAAAATCGATGAGCAATTGGACAAGCTCATCGCGCAAGGGGTCTTAGAGCCAATTGACCATGCCCGGTGGGAGACACCCATAGTCACCCCGATCAAGCCGGATGGGTCGGTCAGGATCTGTGGTGACTACAAGGCCACCCTCAACCATGCGTTGCAGCCGAGTGCCTATCCCGTCCCCGTGGTACAGCACCTCCTGCACTCACTGGGGGGAGGTAAGGTCTTCGCAAAACTCGATTTGGCGCAGGCATATCAGCA